CTGGCCCTGACCCATCCCCTCCCATGCCTGTGTTGTGACTGGGACCCCACCCCACCTTGGCCCTGCCACCCTTCCCACACCCTGCGTTGTGGCTGGGACCCCACCCCACCCTGGCCCTGCCACCCTCCCCACACCCCGTGCTGTGACTAGGAACCATCCTCTGTCACTACAGATGGGCCCCAAGCTCCAGAAAGGGGAGGTCCTCTCCCCAGGTCACACGACACCCAGCCAGACTGGAAGGTAGGGTCCCCGCAACACTTCCCAGCCCTGAGGTCCGCCAGGCCTGTGGAGACAGGCAGCCCCTCTTTCAGTAGCCTGCTTCTCACAGAGACCTCCCCAGTCCTGCTTCTCACAGAGACCTCCCCAGTTCTGCTGGAGAAAGAGCTTTTTTTTTTTTTTTTTTTTTTTGCCAGGGTCTGGAATTTTTTCCTTGTGCAGGTTTGAGGAAGGAGGAGGGAGAAACAGGTCCTCCTGGGGCCTGCTGGGCTGGGCTCCTCAACCAGCCCCTTTAGGGCCCCCATCTCCTCCCGCCCCGGGCTCTGGCCAGGCCCCCAGCGCTGGGCCCCTCCGAGGCCGGCGAGGTGCCCAGTATCAGGCAGCCTTCCCAGGGCTCTGCATGGGCCTGCAAAGGGCTGGACGCTGAGACAACAGAGACAGGGGGAGGGGTAGAGGGAGGAGTGGGGGGAGCTGGAGGAAGCGGGACAGGAAAGGAATGGAACACAGCCCTTTTCTCAGAGTCTCAGCGTCCCTGCGGCCTTGAGCACCAGGTGTGAGGGCTGAGCTGAGCTGGCTCTCCCTGATGGAGCCTGCTGTGGGCCGAGCGTGTCCCCAGATTCATATGCAATGCCCTGACCCCCAACCAGATGGCATTTGGAGATGGGGCCTTGTTTGGTGATGAGGGTGAGACGAAGCCACGAAGTCGGGGACCTCATGGTGGGACGAGTGACTTTAAAGAAGGGGAAGGGACCCGAGCTCCCTGGGCCAGGCAAGGACACAGCAGGAAGGCAGCGTCTGCAGGCTGGGAAGACAGCCCTCTCACAATCCAGATCTGCGGCGCCTTGATTGGACTTCCGCCTCCAGACCGCTGAGAAGGGAGCATCTGCTGTTTAAGACGCCCACTCTGCAGCGTGCCTGGACCTCGGAGTCTGGCCTCCACAACAGGGGAGACATTTCTGTCGTTTGAAACCACTCAGTACGTAACCCTTTGTAACAGCAGCCCCAGGGACCATATGGGTGCCACTGCTGCCCGTGTGGAGGGGCTTGTCCAGCTCCCCGACTGCTCAGGATTAGGGGAGCCCACAGTGGAAGCCGGGGACCTGGGGTCACGCCCACCCTGGGTCCAAGTCCCCACCTGTGGGCGAGGGCAGGGATGAGAGGCCACCCCAACCCTGGGCCTCCTCTGCATGGCCAGAAGAGTATAGAAATGACTGGGGATCTCAGGGAGTACCCAGCACCATCCCTCACTACGGCACAGGCGGGGAAACGGAGGCCCAAAGGTATGCCATCTAGCCAGTGTCACACAGTGAGTCATGAATGCAGCCAGGCCCCTCACTCCAGGAACTCACTTCAGGGCCGCACAGGGCTGAGGGGCCGCGTCCCCAGCCAGCCTCCAGCATCTGCAGAATGGCTGGGCAGGCTCAGGGCCCTCATGTCCTCCGGTCCTCAGCGCAGAGAATGTGACGTGAGGAGACAGGAGGAGGGCACGCTCAACTTCTGACCCCAGGCCAACCCCACACCAGCTCGGCCAGGCCGGACCAAAGTGCACCTAACGGACAGCTAGGCCAGCTCACAAAACTGCTAGGTTTGGTGTGTTCAGATGAAGAGGATTATTTATACAGGTGATGATTACAGGATGACAGTTAAATTTACTTTCAAATGCTTCTAATTTCTGCATCACAGCGGAGCTACAAGGCACGCTTTAGAGAGTGGGGCCTCTCCTCATGTTCTGAGATTCCAGGAACAGTCAGCAGCTACACCAGGCAGGCAGGGCAGGCTGTCCAGGTCACCTCCCCATGACATTCTCTGAGGGGCCTGGCACAACCCCCACCATCTTCCAAGGGGCCTGGCACACCAGCCAGGGCAGCCACTCCCGGTTCTGTCGATCTGAGCAGCAGCTGAGAAGTCACCGGGGACAGTGCTCCTGTGAGTGCTTCTGACAGGTGGGTATCCACCCGCACCCTCCCATGCCCTGTCTGCAGGTGTCCTCCTGGGCTTGTTCTGGGGCAGGTCAACCCTCTGGAACACCCTGGTCCCTCAGCCACCAGGAGAAAAGCCCATGACCACCTTCTTCCGGCAGGCTTCCCTGCGCCAGGGCCAGGGGACATCCTTCTCTGCTGAGCTCCCTCAGCCCGTCACCCGGATTTCTGACATAGCTTCCAGCACTTTCTTCCAAAACCACCACTGGTTTGCTTTCTCCAAAATGAAAAAAGCTTTGCTAGAGATTTTTCCTGATTATTCATTCTTCTGCCACTCTTTTCCCTCACCCCACCTCGCTGTCTCCCACGCACACACACATCCAGTGCACACAGGACCTGCAGCGAGTGCCCATCTGCCCTTTACCTACATACAGTCTCACTCTTGGGCTCTGTGCTGACCTTTGCCCCCTTCCCCACAACATTGTGTGGTATTTTCCCAAGGCTGTAAGCACAAAGCTTTCAGGAGCACTCGAGTCCGCTGCTGGGACAGACTTAACATCCCTCCAGCAGCTCCCAGCTGGCGGGCATTTGGGCAGTTGTCCCGGGCTTGGTAAAACAGCACCAGGGTGAACGTCTCAAATGCACACCTTTGAACACTTGCTGGATAATCTTCGTTGCATTTCACGCAAGCAGCCTGGTGAGGTCGGCATCACACGTCTGATACACATCACCAGGCCGCGCCCCCCGCCAGTGGCCTGGGTGCCTGTCCCTGCCACACTCACAACCTGCCTTTTACAAGTGGGCCGACCTGGGGCCCTGGCTGTCCTGGTGCGTCGCTGGCCACAGTGGGCAGGACACTGATCTCATGTGTTGTCTTGGCTCTGTGGCTCTTCATTTTCCCGAGGATGAAGGTGACGACGTCTGAAACATTCCAGGTGTCCTGGAGGAAACACCCTGGCGGGCTCTCCACCCCGTTCTGGGTCCACGGCCCGTCCCTCCTCCCTGGTTTCAGAACTTTGCTGCAACTCCGCAGACGTCTGATTGAGTTTGGTGATCCCCGGAAGATCAGCACCTCGGAAGAGGTTGGTGTCTTGCATGTGTTCACCTTTGAGAAGGGGCGTTTCCTTCAGGACCTAGCAGTTGCCCCAAAAAAAGTGTAGGGGCTCCTGCGTTCCCCTCCTGACCTTCCTGGCCTGCCTGGACTTCTGCTCGGAGCAGAGGCTGCTGGCACACAGGCGAAATCCCAGAACTCCAATGTCCTCAGGGCAGGACAGGATCCAAGCATCTGAAGCAGGGCGTCTCGCTTCAGGTTTCAACCTCGCTGGCCTTGCTGGCCAAAGGAAACATGGCTGCCCACAGATACAGCTCCGGCCTCTGGCTCCTAAGCCCTGGGGAAAAGCTTTGGTTCAGCCTTTGTTCTCCGGGCCAGAGGACAGGGTGGCATGAAGCAGGTAAAAACCACTGGGGCATGAGGTCTCAGGTCCAAGCCTGCACTGCTGTCTCTGAACCGGCAGCTCTGTGGGGTCTGGGCCAGCGCAGCCTCAGCCAGACAACCTTTCACCAGGTGGGCAGCGCTGCCAGTGTTGAGGTCTTGGCAATGCTGGCTCACCTCCAGGCTGCACCCTCCCATTTCTGGATCCTATGAGGGGAAATGCAAAATGGGGCGGCCGCTCACCCGGTGCACCTGGAGGCCGGGTCAGGGAGCAGGTTGGAGGCTGCAAAGGGGCCCCTCGCCCACCCTGGCCGTCACTTCTGTGACACCCATCCCAACCCGCCCAACTGCCTAACCCTGTCATTTAGGGTCTGGCCTGAGGCTGGGCCGTTCCCAAGGTTCAGGGGCCGGAGGATCCCATCTCTGACACTTTCTTTTTCCATCCACTCTGCTTCTGGTGATCTTCAGCCGCTCGACGGGTCTGATTCTTGTCACTGTGCCAACCATGGAGCTCCCCATGACCCACACGCAAGACTGAGGTGGCAACTGTGCTGCTGTCACCCAGTGGAGGATGGAAGGGGATTCACAGGGCCCTCCCTGATGTCCTGGGTCACCTTACAATGACACAGCAGAGCCCGTTGGGGCGTGGCACAGGCGCCCTCTGCCTACCCAGGGCCACAGTGCTCACCAGAGGTCATGGTTCCCACCTGGAGTCGAAGTTCACACCCAGAGCCATGGTTCACACCTGAGGTCACATTTCGCACCCAGAGTCACAGCTCTGCACAGCCCGAGGCTTCCCACTTAAAGACAAGGGTCCTGCTGCCTGAGCAATTTCTCCGATCACAAAAGGCCAGGGCTGCAGTCAGCTAATGCAGCGAGCATTGTTGGAGAAGCACTCACCTTCCTGGGCAGGACAACCCGGAGGTGCGTTGTATTCGTTCGAGGGCCCCAGCAAGGCCAGGCCCCCGGCCACGGAGGTCACCCACTTACAAATGCACCTCTGTCAGCTCCCCCCAAACTCCCCACTCTCCCACCATGCGTCCTGGGACCACCTCCCAAATAAACTCTTGGCGCTCAAATCCTCATCTCTGGGTTTGCTTCCAGGGACCAAGCAGACAAAACAATTCACCATAACGAGCAGTCAGGATGCACCTCCGAAGTGCACTGGGGTCCCACAGCCACAGCAGCCCCCACAGCCTGGAGTTTAGCAGGGTCTCCCCAGCCTGCCCACTGCACCATGATTAGCCACAGAGCTCCACAGGCTTCTGGAAGGATCACCCCTAGGCCAGACAGAGGGTCCGAGCAGAGTCCTCACTTCCACAGGACCTGACAGAGCCCGGAACACTCCCAGTGACACCTGAATCTCCAGTCCCTGAGCAGGCCTCGGAGACCAAACCTAGGGAGGAAGCTTCCTTGGGACCTGAGTGTCCTCCCCTTGGGGCACCCCCCTCCCCACCTGGTAGATAATAGATGACGGCATGTTGGACGGGTGCACGGCACCTGTGAATGGGGAGGCTGCCATTGTCCACATCCCGAAGACCAGGTGGCTGTTCATGTCACCACCCAGCGCAGCTGACACTACTTGATCCTGTGACAGCAGCAGCAATTGCAACTGCACCAGAGGCCCCAGCACAAACTGCCCCGTGAGCCCAGCCAGCCACAGAACGGAGAGATGACAATTGGTTCTTGCTCCAAGATGCTGATATGGTTTGGATATGTGGGGAAACATATGGGTGTCCTTATAAGAAAGCCAAACCCAGTGACGGGTGTCCTTATAAAAAAAGCCACATGAAAGCAGAGACAGAGACACACAGAGGAGAAGGCCACGTGACGACGAAAGCAGAGACTAGAGTGACGCTGCTGCAAGCCAAGGTGGCTGGCAACCACCAGATCCCAGAGAAGGCAGGAACGGTCCTCCCTAGGAACTCAGAGAGAGTGAGGCCCCGCTGGCACCTTGACTTTGGACTTCCAGCCTTCACAGCTGTGAGCGTAAATCTCTACTCTCATAAACCCACTACCATTGGTGGCGGTTTGTCACAGCAGCCCCAGGACACCTACACACGACATAGACAAGGAGGTGGACACTGCTCTTGGGGCCAGGTTGACCACGGAGCCTGGCCCGTAGGCACAGGACCACGGCCCCCAGCAACCCGTGGTCGACCTCGATGCCGTGCAGGCCGATACTCACTGGTGGTGCTTCCAGACATCTGAATGATGCACTTGGAGTCGCGGCTCATTTCCCGGGAATTGAAGGGGCGGACCCGCACCGCCACCTTCACCGAAGCCCCGGCCATCGCTGTGGCCTTCGTGGGTCACTCTTTGCAGTAGTGGGAGTCCCAGTATGCAGGGAAACACCTTGGAAAAAAGGGAAACATGAATTAGAAACAATATCCGAAGAGGCAGGACAGGCACTCTGGCTGCAGCTGAAGCCGCAGGTCTTCTCCACTCCACTCCAAAGCCCCGTGACACATGCATGGGGTGGAATCCACAAGGAGAGGGGGCAACACAGATAATTCTAGAAAGCAGGAGCCCAGCGGGACCAGTAGAAGCCGGCTTCACGAGCCTGGGGAAGCTGGAACCCAACGAAAGAAACAGAGCGACCTGGGTGTGAACGTGAAGGTGGCCTTCACACCCATGGCAAATTCCCCAAGAAGGGTCTTCCCCCGCAGACGCAGGCCCTGGTGGGCTCCATGACAGGTCCGCGCAGGCCCCAAGAGCCAGTGCTGGCTCCAGATCAGCATGTCAAGGATGCTTTAAAATGGAACAGTGTTCCAGAATGCCCCAGCACGCCCTCCGCACCACGCACCAGCTGATAGCCACGTCAGCAGTAGCATGGTCTCTGGATTAGCAAGAAAGAGAACTTTACTCAGAAATGAACAGGACAGACAGCCTCAAGCAATGGAACAAAAACCAACATTTTCAGCCCAATTTCCTGCTGGTAATTCACGCAGAAGGAGGCAAGGAACGCTCCTGAGCCCCACTGAGGAGGAGCAGCCCGCGAGTCATGGCAAATTCAGTACAAGCCAGGGCTGGGGGACCAGCCTCGGCCTTGCCTTTACCCCGGCGGTGTGACTCAGCTTCCTGGGCCTCAGTTTACCGTCTGTGAAATGACAGGGTGTGGTCAGGAACTCCAAAATGATTTGGCCTCTCGGGCGCTGGGACTCTGAGGAAGGCTGATGAAAACTCCCACAAAACAGTGACGAAGCAGCCACTGCAAAAGGTCTTTCCAGGCTGACCAGTCAGACGCTGCTGCTTCCCCCGTGGGGCTTGGGGCCTGAAGGATGGGGCTCCTGGGCACAGGGACAGGGACAGGCTTGGGACAGAGCTATTGGTTACAGGAACGGCCAGAGCTCCATGAAACAGAATTAATGCAACCTGACATGAGAGGTTTTTGCCAACTGGTATCTAAACGCTCGAGGGTGCCCGCTTAGTGGTGAGTCCCACATCACCAGAGGCATCCAAGTAGAGCAAAGGCTAGGTGGCCTCCTTGAAACACTTCCACACTGACATTCCATGAAAAGGCGACCTTCTGCCTGGTCGTCCCCATCCATAAGTGCCACCCTTGGGAGAATCGGGCCAAAAGCCCCCGTCTTACACTGCCCCAGCCTCGTAGCTGTGAAGAAGGGACAAGCCCCTCTGGGCTGCCCCTGAAAGCGCCAGGATCAAGAGCAGGAGGGCTCTGTCAGCAGAAGGAAAGGGGGCACAGTGAGCCTGGGACCAAGGCAGATGCTGAACTCCTAGATTCCACCCAGGCCACTCCCCAGGATCCCCAGAACTCCTCTGCAGAACAGGCTGGATGTGGGGCAGGGCTGTCCCTCAGGCAAACAGCTCTTCCAGAGGCTACAGGGGAGGAGGAAGTGCCAGGGCACCCTATGACTAAGTGGGGACAAGTTTCTGATGTGGCTGGACTCATGCCGGCTACACCACAGCCCCTCAGAGCCACAAGGTGCAGCCACGTCTATACTCCAGAGTGCTTCTGCCAACTCTCTCTTCTCCTCAAGACAGGAGTGGCCGCCAGCGTGGACGGAGGGATGACCGCTGAGAATCTGTGTTTCCTTGTGTTGAAAATCCCTGCACTTTCAAAACTGGAAAAAGTCTTAGGACATTCCAGCCGGGATGAAGAGAGGAACAGGCAAACTCACGAGTCCCTGGCTGGAGCACAAATCCCGCAAGGTTTCTAGGCAGCCATTCTGCAGCACGGCCTGGACCTTTAGGAAGGTCTGTATCCTTTGACTCAGTAATCCCAAGTACTGAAATCGGAAATACTTCGAGATTAAGAAAATATTGATGAAAAGCAGATATTCAACAGTGCAAAATTTCCAGTTCTCCCCAAATTTAGCTATATAAATTCAGTGCAATTCCAATAAGCAAAATATTCCAACAGGACATTCAACGGAATTTGGCAGGACAAGAACATTTTGAAAAATGAGAACAAAGAGGGGAAACATCCCCTACCAGCTATCATATATCCTCTAGAGCTACAATAATTTCCAAAGTCTAGAAATGACACGTGAACAGACTAAGCGTGTCCACAAGCAGACACACACACATACACACAGATTAAAGAAAAACGCAGCAATTTAGGGAATGACGTAAGATCAGTATGGGACAACTGGCTCTCTCCATGTTGGAAAAATAAAGCTAGATATAGAACTTGATCTTTAAAATGTAAATGCATTACAAGGACACAGAGAAGCCTCTGTTCTTGGCTCTGGGGTGCGGAATATGCACACCACAAAGCATGGAAGGCGAAGGCGGCTTGGTGGGTGTAGTGGCCAGCAGCCGACCAATGCACTGCTCAAGAGGTCCGATACCACACTGCAATGTGTGTGAGGGAATCAGTGTGCAGCCGCAAGCCAACATTCCGGAGGAGGGGCTGCCAAGACGGGAGCTGGCCTCCGCAGCACAGCCTCCGAGCGTATTTGCATTCTGCGCATGGGTCAAGAGACCGGGAATCTGGAGTCTTCCCAGACAGAGAGCCGTTGCTGAGGGACGGAGGAAGCTGCAGAGCTTTTGGGCAAGAGAAAGAAACTTGAGAGGCCAAGATTCCAGAAGAGAGAGGTAAAGAACTAAAATGAACAAATGCCCCAAATGCCTAGTCCTTCCCTTAAGACATTTGCCAAATTCTGAAGGTAAGAGAGGTGGGATTTTAAAAACCCAAGCTGAAAACCAAAGAGGAGTTTTGCACAGTCTCAGATGCTAAGGAACAAAGATTTGAGTTCAGGGTCCTCCAGGAGGAGGATCCCCAGTGATCACACCAGGCTCTGGCTGAAAGCCCAGGGAGGCACAAAACCTAAGAGCAGGGCAGAGCCATAGCTCAGATGAGCCTTATGAAAACTACAACCTGCCCTCACTTGGCTTAATTCGGATTTCAGTCTGGCTGCCTGGGAGAGAAAATGGAAGCCATCTGGAGTCTCCACACTCTTTTATTTTTATTTTTTCAAACTCTGTACTCTATATTCTTTTAATAGGCAATGTGTGACATCCAATCAAAACTTAGAAGGTGTAAAATAAAAAAGGACTCTGATTAAAAACAAAGAGGAAAAATAAAATAGAAACACATGAGAGAAAAAAAAAGAGACACATACCTACACATGATCCAGATCTAGGCATTATTAAACAAGGACTTTAGAACAACCCTGACTAATATATTCAAAATAAGAGCAAAAGGACAGAGAATATAAATGGAAAATAGATAATTTTGCCAGAAGACTGGAAACTATAACAAATAATCAAATGGAAATGCTAGATCTGGAAAACAAAATAACTAAAATTAGGAACTCAAGAGATTAGACACAGTTGAAGACAGTGCTAGTAAACTGGAGGATAGGTAATAGAAATATAGAAAATTTAAAACAGATAAGAAGAATGGAAAATATAGACATGAGAGCCAGAAAAGTATAGGACACACTGAAATGGTCAAACATACTTGTAATTGGAATCTAGAAGGAGAAGAAATGGAATGGGGGTGCTATGGTCTGAATGTTTGTGTCCCCTGTCCCATCCAAATTCCTGTGTTGAAATCCTAACCCCTAAAGTGATGGCATTAGGAAGTGGGGCCTTTAGAAGGTGATTAGGTCATGAGTGTGGAGCCTCACAAATGGGATCAGTACCCTTGCGAAAGAAATGCCAGAGACACCCCTCAGCCCTTCCACCACATGAGAACAGGGCAAGAAGGTGTCTAGGAGCCAGAAAGCAGATCCTCAGCCAATGTGCCTTGCTCTTGAGCTTCCCAGCCTCCAGAACCATGAAAAATAAATTCTGTTATTCATAAGCCACCTGGAAGCAGTATTTACAAAACTAATGACCACGGATTGTCCAAAGCTGCTGAAGCACATCGACCCACAGGTTCAAGAAACTCTACAAACACAAAGCAAGACAAACAAAAAAGCCACACAAGGCACAGCACTGCAACAACGTTAGGACCAAAGATAAAGAGATAAAGCTTAAAGTCAGCCAGGAAAAAAAAAAAAAAGGCCGGGCGTGGTGGCTCACGCGTAGAGATCCCAGCACTTTGGGAGGCCAAGGCAGGCGAATCACAAGGTCAGGAGATTGAGACCACAGTGAAACCCCATCTCTACTAAAAATACAAAAAATTAGCCAGGCATGGTGCAGGCGCCTGTAGTCCCAGCTACTCAGAGAAGCTCAGGCAGGAGAATGGCATGAACCTGGGAGGCAGAGCTTGCAGTGAGCCGAGATTGTGCCACTGCACTCCAGCCTGGGTGACAGAGCGAGACTCCATCTCAAAAAAAAAAAAAAAAAAAGAAATTGACAACTGAATTCTCAACAGAAATGACAGAAACCAAAAGACAAGGTTGCAAGGTTTCAACATGACCATGAAAGAGGTCATAGTAATCATTTACATTCGATTGTCAAGCATACATGTTGTCATTGCTAGGTTAATCATTTAGAAAGTAGAAAACTAATGTATAACTAACAAGTTAAGAGAAAAATACCCAAAAATTAAAATTTATTTTATGAATCCAATAGAAGGCAATGAAGGAGAAAAACAATATGAAAAGATAACATCAAGTGGAAAAGAAAGAGTTAAGATTGCAGATAAAAGGTCAACTCAGTATGAACTAAATACACCAAGTAAAACATTAAAAATTGTCAGACCAGATTTTTTTAAATTATATTCTGTTAATGAGAGGCTCTATATACAAAGGCACAGAGAAGTTCCAATTAAAAGGATGAAAATTTGTGCTTGCTCTATCAGCCACTGAGGAGGAGAAAATATATATCGTACACATTATTTTGTTTATTTATTTTGAGACCAAGTCTCCTGTCTCCGAGACTAGAGTTCAGTGGCGTGATCTTAGCTCACCACAGCCTTGACATCCTAGGCGTAAGCAATCCTCCTGTCTCAGTTTCTCGAGGAGCTGGGACTATAGGCGTATGCCACCACATCTGGCTAATTTTTTTATTTTTTATTTTGTAGGGATGGGGTCTCACTATGTTAGCCAGGCTGGTCTTGAGTTCCTGGGCTCAAATGATCCTCCTATCTCAACTCCCCAAAGTGCTGGGTTTCTAGGTGTGAGCCACCATGCCCAGCCTCATACATATCTTTTA